ATAATGAGTCATGTTTCCCTAAATGGTGATCTAGTTTTCCCGACATATTTTATTAATTTTCCTATGTTCTGCTGATTGATTTGAGATGCCTATTATATATTCTCTGTAATATGTGGGTTTATTTAAACATTTTGTCTCAGATTCATTCCATACCATTAAATTATTATTATTTTAATATTTTTTTGTAGTTGTAGATGGACACAATGCCTTTATTTTATTTGTTTTATGTGGTGCTGATGAGGATTGAACCCAGTGCCTCACATGTGCTGGGAAAGCGCTCTGCTACAGAGCCACAACCCCAGTCCCAAATTATTATTATTATTATTATCATTTTTATTTATTTATTTATCTCTCTTTTTTAGTTGTAGGCAAACACAATATCTTTACTTCATTTTTATGAGGTGCTGAGGATTGAACCCAGTGTACTAGGCAAGCACTCTACCACTGAGCCACAACCCCAGCCCCAAATTATTATTTTTTAAAATACTGTTATTTGTAGGTGAATACAATACCTTTATTTTATTTATTTGTATGTGGTGCTGAGGATTGAACCTAGTGCCTCACGTATGCTAGGAAAGAACCCTACCTGGGCTGAGCTATAACTGTACCCAGCCCACCATTAAATTATTTTTATTTCTTTTTCAGTGACTGCAAGGACTACCTTCTCTTGCTGGATAAATGCTTCTTATACCTATATTCATCTCTTTATTGATAATTAAAATTCTCAGAAAATAAAACATTCGTACCTCAGACCTCACTTATGCTCAAAACCCACAGTATGGTGTTTTCTTTGTGTTAGATTTCAGTAAATATTATTGATATTTCATTATGATTTATGAGTTGACTTTCTTAATGTACCTATTTTCTTTAAAAGAAAACAAGGGTTCTTTTGTACATAAGGATTATAGATTATACAATTTTCTCTTGTCACTTAATGTAATAATGTAATATACATCTTCTCATGCTAGTATATGTACATTTACCTCATTCTTTTAAGATTATGCTGTATTCTCTCATTAGTTAGGCATAACCTAATTTCACCTGTCCTATATATGGCAATTAGAATGTTTCTAAATTTTTTAGAGCGCACATTATGAAGTTTCCATAGAGTAAGTTCCTAGAAAACGAATTATAGAATCGAAAATTGAGTAACTGTTACCTAATGGTTCTTTGAAAACCTGGCAGCCCATCTGGGCATATTCAGACATATGCCCACTATGGCAGTGTTTACTTAAAGAATTTACTCTTTATGGCAGTGTTTATTTAAAGAAAGAACCTTAAGGGCGGGGAATGTGGCTCAGTGGTAGAGTGCTTGCATAGCACATGTGAGGCCCTGGGTTCAATCCTCAGCACCACATAAAAATAAATAAATAAATGCATAGTGTCCATCTACAACTAAAAAATATTTTTTAAAAAAATTGTCTTAAAGCAGGCTGGGTACAGTGGTACACACCCGTAATTCCAATAGCTTTTAAAGTCAGGCAGGAAGAACACAAGTTCAAGGCCAGCCTTGGCAATTGAGTGAGACCCTCAGTGAGAATCTGTCTTAAAATAAAAAAAGGGGCTGGGGGTGTATCTCAGGGGTGAGTGCCTTTCTAGTATGTGTGAGGCCCTGGGTTCCACCCCCAGACTATAAAACAAACAAACAAAAGATCCTTAATATTAAGGGAAATGATGTTTCACCTTTGAATTACATGGAGAACTTTGAAAAGTTCCCGAGTCATAGTAAGCTATGTTTTCTGTTCGAATGGTTTTTGTACGGTTTAGCCCATTGTCAGATGTTTATTTTTTTATAATTTAATATTTTGAACTAATTAATATGTGGAATTGTTAGCTTATTTTGTCTTGCAATGGAATTCACCCTCAAATTTCTGTTTTTGGTTAACTTACCCAAAGGAATTTTTTTTTTTTTTTTTTAAAGAGAGAGAGAGAGCGAGAGAGAATTTTCAATATTTATTTTTTAGTTCTCGGCGGACACAACATCTTTGTATGTGGTGCTGAGGATCGAACCCGGGCCGCATGCATGCGAGGCGAGCGCGCTACCGCTTGAGCCACATCCCCAGCCCAAAGGAATGTTTTTAAAAATAGTTGTTATGAATTTAAAGGTCATTAAGTTCTTACCTTACAAAAAGAGTGTTTCATAAGGACTGTTGTGATTTGCTTGTCTTCACTGGTATTTTGTTGACAATTTGTTAGTTTATACACCTGCTAGTTCTGTTTTTACTGTTGTATCTCCTCACCGTACTAGTGCTTACCACTGAGCTGCATCCCAGCCCTTTCTGTTTTTGTTTTTTTTTTTAAGTAGTAGAGGGACACTACTACTTATTTATTTATGTGATGCTGAAGATTGAACCCATTCCCTCTACCACTGAGCCCTAACCCCAGGCCCTTTCTATTTTTTATTTTGATATAGGGTCTTACTAAGTTGCCCAGGCTGTCCTCAAACTTGCAGTCCTCCTCCTTCCCTCAGCCACCTGCTTTGCTGGGATTATAGGCACACATCACTGTGCTCAGCTTTTGCATTATTTTTCAACAAGGCATACTAATAAATTAAGGAAAGTATTATAGAATAAGTTTACCAGTGAACTTGATTAATCATGCCATTATATACAAAGGATAAATTAAAGATAACAGAGGCATCTTTTACCAAGTGCACTGCTTGCAGCAACAATAGATACAAATCATACACGTTCCTAAGAAATTTCTAAAGGCAGCCATAAAGAATGGACAAGTGGTCAGAGAGAGAACTGAGTAAGCTGTAGGTAAAATTTGTTTATTAAATGCTAGTGTTAAATACCCCATATTGTCAATGTTGCTTGTATGTATGGCTCCATTAGACATGATTCTTTGCATTTAGATACAATTGTATGCAGTGTCTAAGCTAGTTCTTGGCATATATGCAGTGTAAATATAAGATAAAATGTATTTGGGGTTTTAGGATTTTTTTTTTTTTTTTTTTTTACATTTTTTTAGAATAGAATGCCCAAGCTACAGTAAAATGCAATTCTTTGCTTTATTAGTAATCATTTGGGAGCAGTGATATAGTCTATAGAAGGCGCATTGGGAGCAATCTTGATAGGACGCCACTCTATGGTTAGGGGTGAGTGTTATTACAGAAAAAAAGAAGTTTGTATCTGAATGCTAATCCATGTACTTCTTTTTCCTTTGATTATCTGTTGCAGTTTTTGTTTCCAGTGTTGATAATATTACTGAAATTTTAATGAGGTTAAATATCATTATGCATGCTTTTAGCATGTTCTATGAAAAACAGCGGGTTACTTTTCTTTGGTCTCTGTAAGAGCTCACTTCACTTTGAAGTATAGAAAGAAATAATATTTTTACTGTTTTCACAAGTTGTATATTTTAGTGTTATAATATTTTGACAACTAAAAGCTTATACTTCACATAGCAGTTGAATCTTAAGAAGGTATCTAGATATCCTAAAATCAAGGAGATTCATCACAAAGAAATTAGTTTCCGGATATTTGATTTTCTTCAATTTAATGAAGAATAAAATTAACATTTTAAAGTTATATCCAAATGCTTTTGTAGAATTTGAAGAAATACTGTTCTGATCTAAATCTGGCCAGAATTGATTTTAAAAAATCTTTCATATACCACATTTTCTCCTAAGGTGAATAGTCAAGATTTTCAGCATTTGACCATGATATGTAGTAAAAGCAATCTTGGTGAAAAACAAACCTGAATAATTTTTTTTGGTTTATGTTTGATCCAGTTATCAAGTATTTAATAGAAATGAGATACTTACTGCCATGTTTTCCAGTTTGTGAAGAGTTGTAATAGAACTTTGTTAAGAAATTAAATCAGCCTCATGTTGAATCTTAGTGTTATCTTTAGAGTGAACTATAATAATAGATATCCTATTATAGGTTGCCAGATATCCTCTGTGTCTGTTTTGAAACTTTTAGTTTTGTTTTCATTATTTGAAAGCCATGATGAATCTTTTTAAACATTTACTTTAAAATTGGTGAGCCTAGTTGAACTTCTGTTAAATGGTAAACGGGGGCCAGAACTTATAGATAATTCATTTATTCATTGAAGCAATGTTGCTACTTTCCAGATGTGTCCTTTATATAGTTATATAGTGTAAGACACTTAAATTTTCTAGTCTTTGATTTCCTCATTTATAGAACTGGTAATTGTGGCAAGTAAATATAACTGCATAATGATTTATCTCATTAATCTCATTTAATCTTAGCAACTGCTTTGTGAGGTTAGGTGGTGTTCCGTTTTACATTCATAGGGAAAAAAACAATTCATGCCCAAACCAATCACAGCATTAAGTAGCTGTAATTACAATCTGAATTGAATTGGTTCTATGTTTCCTGAGCTTCTTCGCATTTCACTTTAAACATGTTGTAAATCTTTTCTTTTTTTCTTTTCTAAATTCATTCTCACAGTTTTTAGCCTTTATGTCTTATTTTAAAAAAAAAACCTATGGAAGTTAATATGGGTATGATCACTTAATTTAGTTATAAAGTTCTTAACCTTTGATTTTTATGGGATCATGTAGAAGGATTAAGGTGTAAGCTTTGGCAAGAGACCAGTTAACTGTGTGCGCTACTGGTTGTGGTTATGAGACGTCTTCCATAAGGGCTGCCTTTGGGTAATTTGGAAAGCACATCACAATGGTAATGAGTTAACCCCAGTTGAGTTGGGTTCTGTTTGTGACTTGGACTTTCCATTTCAGAAATTGATGAATTACAGTGGGTTTTCTTTCCACTCAGAGTTTCAAATAATTGTGCCTCATCTTTGGGTTGCTGTTGACTCCTTATTATGGAGATTTACAGTAATTTGTAAAAAAAAAAATGTTGTGCTGATCCTTAGTTGCTGCATATTGTAATAAGTTAAAATTTAAAAAATAGAATTGTAAACCACATTAATAACCATTTTCATTAACTTTTTTTTACAATCTTGAATTTGAGATGCCATGCCATATTTTTTCAAAATATGATATTGTTCTTGCCATTCTTTGACAGACCCCTTATCCCTCTGGACAGAATGCAGGTCCAACCACGTTGGTATACCCTCAAGCCCCTCAGACAATGAATTCACAACCTCAAACCCGTTCTCCGGTAAGTAAACAAAAGCTTGTTCCAAATAATATTTTCCACCTTAGTTTTTGTGTATAGTAGCCTGGGTTCATTTGGCAAGTATTTTTACTGGATTTTGGACATTTGTTTCATAGTTGATTTTTTTATTATTATTATTAGTGTTATTGGTTAGCATTGCATTTTCAGACCTTATCGTAGGAATAATTTGAATTTATTATGAATAAAAGAGGTGGAGCTTTTAGATCATTTTTGCTTGTCTGTGATGATTCTTTAAAGTCTGGTTGCATTCAGGTGTACTTCATTTCAGCTGTTAATGTGAGTGTTGTACTGTTCAAAATCCAGAAGAGTAAAACATAATGATTTTTTTAAAGTAAACTGAATTTTGCTAAGTAGTCTTAAATTCTGGTGGTTCGGGAAATAAGACTTCTGACTCATTGTCACTGGATCAGTTCTAATCATTTTACAGTGTGGACATGTGCATGACATACACCAGGGGTGTATTCATTTCTTCAAATGGTAAATAAATTGTCATACAATGCAAATGCTATCATCCTCTTTGTTTATCCTTCACCTGGATTGCAACAAGTACTGCAAAGATTGAGAATTTACTCAAGGTTCATCCTTCTGTCTCACGAAAGTATACAGTGGCTTCAGCTGTCCTTCCCTTAGAATATCGTTTCCTGCCCTGCATGATGAGCTTTGGCTAGAAGGTGTTTCTGTAACAGCTTTCATTGTATCTCACATCCCTCTCTTTACCTCAGCTCTGTGTATTCTTCTGAACACAGAAAATCTTCTTTTTGTTCCCCACCACTGCTTTTTTGCCTGGAATACAGGAATACTTCATTGCATTAGCTCCTATTCATTTGGTTTTATGCATGAATCCAAATTGTTGAAATGTACCAAAGACTTAGTCAAAGAATTAGGACAGCATAGACTGCACCAAAATGTAATCTCTTTCTTACCCTCTTCCTGTCTTTTCCCTGTGGCCCTCTTTTCCAATACCTGGTCTTAGATCCTGGTTCTCCCCACTGGGTGGAAGAACCATTCCAAGGAGGAGGGACTTTTGTCCTAGTTGCCTGTTTGCTTGTGTCTCTCTCTCTCTCTTTCTGTCTCTTTTTCTTTCTTTCTTCTTTTTTTTTTTTTGCTGAAATGGTCAACACAATGTCTGGTGCAAGTTTTGTTCTGAGAGTGGTTTGGGGATGTGGACACTTGACTACTTGGAGCGGGCCTGAGGTCTCATCAAATCAATTTAGATAGGCCCTGGTTTTAATCATTAAGCATGGAACATTATGGTAAGCTCTGATTGCAAAGAGTTCTATGGACCTCTTACCCTTCCCCCTTTTTCTAATTATTGGAAAATAAAAGAATTAAATTTACATGGTTAGAATTGGCGCAAAACCTGACTGAAGAGCTGCATCTCTAAACCAGTTTTTTTGACAGCCCAGCAGAACAGTGCCAATACATTGCACAGACAACTGGAAGAGGAGGAAGGTTTTGGAACAGACTCCCGTTTACAGGTCCTTGGCTGGAAGAGGCTGGATAAAATACTGCATTGTAAGCAATATAACAAACTGTACTTCTTGCAGGCAGTGGTGCCTCTGGCACTCATAATTTTTGACCACATCCACTTATTGGCTGATGAACGCAAATGCATTGATTGCTTCCTCTCTGAAAGTCTAACCTAGCGTGGCAGTTTTTGCCAGGCATAGTGGGGAAAAGAATAACAAATTGGGTGGGTCTTCTCTATTGGGAATTAGTTAGGAATAATTTGGGGTTTAGGTTTTTCTTTATTTTGAACTTGAAGTGGGATATTCTTTTCAGATAAATTTGAATTTAAAAGATAAATTTCAAGGCTTCTTTAACCCCCCCTTTCCATTTGATAATTGAATATCAAGGGGGAAATTACCTATAGTTGTCAGCCATTTTTCTGTGGTCATAAACTCTTCAGAGACTATCCTTTATGCAGTTTTTTGCCATCTGCTCTGCTAGTGACCATTACCACCCCCATTACTAAAAACCACACATATAACATTCCATTACATGCCCCAAAACAAGTGCAAGATTAGCAAAACCTGAACTATTCTTGCTTATTGTTTTGGGTTTGATATTCTTTATTTTGTTTATGTTGGTGCTGGGAGGGTGAAGTTGGGGTATGAAATTTGGCAGTACTGCATTTTCTGTTTACATCCCAAGTTGCCATAGTCTAGTCTCATTCATCCCACAGCTGTCTTAACTGGGAAGGAGAGGAGAGGTAAGGTGTTGCACTAAGGAAGGGCACTTCCCATGGCTTTGTAGAGCAGCTGAGGCTTACTCCATTCTATTTCTGCATTAATAGGCCATTGGCAATTACACAGTTTAGGCTTTTCTGTTCTTCATTGGGTAGCTGACTTTGCAATCAGGTGGCTTCAAATGCCCTCACTTTTCTGTCAGATTATCTTTGTGCCTTTATTTCTATTTGAAACTTAGTATCTTAGTTAAGTTCATAATGTGGGACGTCTTATTAAAAAAATACTAATAAGCTACCTATCTATTTCATTTCCTTATTGTTTTAGAACTCTTAAAGCAGTTTTTTTTTAAATAGTCTTAAAAATAGTGAAGCTATTGATATCTTGAAATTGGGAAAGAGAGAACAGTTTGGCTATTGTAATAACCTGTAACCATTGGTTATTTTTATATTTTGTGGTGCCAAACACTAAAGTTACATCAATGTCACATTGGGTAAACCAAGTATGCATAGAAGGGTGAGTGTGTGAGTGGATGGGTGGGTGGCATTAACATCGATTCCAAGTTCACATAAGGCTACTTTCCTTTATATCTACAATCCTCACCATCTTAAAGACCCCTCTTAAAAAAAGAAAAAAGAAAAAAAGGGATTTTCTCTTTTTAATTAGAGCCAGCAGCGACTACAGTTTGTTCTGTTGCTTACAGTTACCCTCAGCATTAAGACTATTGTCATTCCAAATGAAAAATTCAATAGCCAATGGTGACTAGTGCAAAATAGACTAGGGTACTATCCAAGGTTACTTTCTCCCACTACCTTAAGTTGTGGTTTTCTTTTCTTTCTTTCTTTCTTTTTTTTTTTTTTTTAATATATGTATAATTTTATAAGGTAGCCCTCTTTGTTCATGGAAAGTTCTCTACTGAATGGAGCATTCCAAATATGTAAAGTTTCAACTATTATATTAGAGCTTTGGAAACGGGGCCTTTCTGTGGAACAGTGATAAGACAGGTACTGCTGTACTCAGGTTACTCTTTTACATGGCCCTTCTCTCCCATTTTCTTGAAAATTCTCCTGTGAAGAAACATCTTACTTCCACCCCCTACTTTCATATCACATGGGTGGTATTGCTTATTCTTGAAATTTAATGTCCATAACAGAGATCTGATCTATTTTGTTCTCGTAATTGGAAAATTAAAAGACATCAATTTCTTTGAAGAGAATATTTTCCCCAATAACCATAACTGCTGCTGTGACTACTATTCTGAAAAACTGATTATAGTGTTTAGCCAATTATTATGGCCCACCTAACACACCCCTACACTATAAATCATTAGGGAGTCTTTCATTACTTAAAACAATAGTTGATATTTTTGTTTTTAAGGTGAATTCTTGACAGAACTGTCTTCCAGGTTATCGGACATTTTGGCCATGTGGTCCAATGAAATTTGTTTACATTTTTTTGTGTGTGACAACAGTGTTAGTTGGGAAAACAATTCTGAAACTCTTGCAAGATTCTATTGCACATGATTTAAATTCTGAGCATGAAGGATTGTTTCTTAATCTTCAGTCTAATTCATCTGTGGTAATAAATTCATGGAATGTTCTTCATAGGAAGTATGAAGGTATTAATACTTTAAAGGTATTAAATAAAAACCCTGTGTGGTTTACACTCAAAACATTTACTTTCTAAATATTTTCATTATTAAAGAGGGTGATTAACATCATCCTACCTAATGTATTAGTACTATATAATATATGGCTGTACATGCCCCTGTATTTTTTTCGGTCCTTTTTAATTGAAACATAATGGAAGCCAAAGTTTGCTCTGTTGAATTGTTTGATTTTAGAGGTTTGGCAATAGAAATTTTCATGAATGAGGAGCTTTTCTTCCATTCTGAGTTGAAGGAAGCTTTGGAATATATATTATTGACTTTGAAGCACTGTATGATTTAGCTGAGGAATTAGGTTTCCTTTTCCTTTTATTCTCATAACAAATAGCAGTAGGTACATAAGTATAGTGTTTGCTGTTCTCAACAAATAAGAATGAGAGATTTGACTTTTTAAATTCTTTTTTTTTTCTTTTTTCCTTCTCAAGCCTATAAATAGTACCATTTTGATTAATCATGTAAGACACTGATGTTCTTTACCAGCTATTTGCTTTGACATGCCTGGTATTAAATTTAACAGTTAAGTACATTTAAAAAGTGTATTTTTCATAAACCTTTATGCTTTAACTTCAAGAAATAAGAGGAAAATACAGAAACTTCAAATTCATGTATAAGATCCCTCATTTACGTTAAGAAAATTTGCTATTAGTCCTGTTACATTTATTTCCTGCCAGACATTATAATGATCTCTTGACTATTTCTTGTAATGTAAACGCATTTCTCATGTCATCTGGCTGTATCAGTTACATATAGCATACTTGATTTTCATGTTTGTCTTAATATAATCACCCAGTGTCTAAAACTTTCATCTGCCTGATTTAGGCTTTATTTATTTATTTGTTTATTTGAAGTATTCCTATTAGAGAGCACTCTAGGTATCTAACAGCTTAGCTGTTTTTCTTCTAGCTGATAAATGACAAACTATCTTGGTAGTGTTGTTAACCTGTTGAATCGTAGTACCTGTCTGTCACTGTCCTGCAGCAAAGCTTTGACTGTTCTATGTTTTTTTTTTTTTTTTCTTGTGGGTTTTTTCTTTTGGCATATTGTGTGACATTTTGGTTTTTGTTGTTGTGTTTCTGACTCTTTGTGCCTTTCCTTTTGTGTTTGTTTTCCCTCCTTTTCTCAGTTTGCAG